ACTGAATTAGACAATAGTCTAAATCAAATCAGAAATCAAAAGCAGGTCTGGCTAAGCAATATGGTTTTGGTGCCGACCTGCCAGTTTAATGGCTTCAAAATGTGCTGTAATGTAAAGCATGAAAACAAGTTCTTCAGTCAGACTTCCCCCTTCACACCACTGGACCAGGGCCAATCCCAGAAGTGTCTGAATTAACTGTAAATTGTACTTGGTTCTACCTTTGTTGTATATTTCCATAGCTTGAAATATAAAATTTTTATCTCTTTAGGAAGCTACAGCTCCTAGGCTATAGCATGAACATTTTCAGGTGTGTTTCTTGTCCAGATCCCAAGGGACCCCTAACCTCTCAAAAGTTTTATGTTTTCAGACTTTGTTTCCAAAATGTAGTTGTGATGGCAATCTTTGAGCCAGACAATTTGAAGATACATATTTTTGGTCTATTCTTGTTCACATCCCTCCTCCTCCCATACCTGCTTCTGGCACAGTGGATGGGGCCCTTCTAGCCTTTTGCAGGCAGAAGAATGAGCAGACTCATCACAGTACCAAAAAAAGGGAAGAAGCCAGTAGCAGGTAACACCAAGCATCCATGTAGAGCCCTTGTGATTGTTACAAGCACTACAAACCTGCAGGCAGATTTTCAAAGGCATACGGTGATTTTGTGAGGTTGAGTTGTGATGTCACTGAAAGGCTGACTATTGTGCAACAGACTCTTATTTTAGAAACAAGTGAAGGAAGAAATGGTACTGGAAATCGATGCTGTAAAGCTTCAACTTCATATGAGTGCATTTAAATTATGAGAATGTATTTTTTCTCCTACTCTCAAATTGACTCTTCATGTGCTTATATTTCTGTGAACCTGTTTTGACTGAGTTAAGAAAAATATTTGTGGGGCGGGTGTGCTGCAAAAAGTAAAGATATTGTTCTGTATTGTATCCAAAGTGATTTTGTTGAAGACAATTATCAGTTCACAGTGTAATGCTAAATGGGGTGCCTCAGATCTGTTGAGAATCCAGTCACACTGACATTTCAGGATTCAGCATGGTAATGTTTCTATAACAGGCATGGTGGAGTGACAAGATGCTATCAATCAGACTTATTTTGTGCTAGCTCTAGTCTAGAAAAAATCCAATAGCCTTACACAGAGGAAACAGTAATTATCTCTATTCTCTCATTTCTCGAAGACTGTGAGAAAGGATGGTAGTTTACTCAATTGTTGCAAAAATACTTTGGAAAGAAACCAACTCAAAACTCAGGAAAGGAAGACACAAAAGAACTGATGTTTCTGAAATAAGAAAATTTTCATAAGAGAAAAAAGGATCAGATGGTATTTTAACAAGGGGTTTGGTATAGTAGTGGAAACTGACATGATCTCATTTACAGATTTCCTTTGTTTCTTTGACTACAGTTAGAAGAAAATAATTCATGTAACATTCTATAATAATTGTTTTAATCGTTAACAAGCAGTGTTCTCTGGAAATAGCATCATACATACAGCTGTACTTGTATACAATGTGTACAAAAGCACAGTAACAGACACTTCTGAAATGTGCATATCGGGTTAACAATATGCCTAGTAAATCTCCAGACAGATTAACTAATTACCCCACAACGTGCTACAAGAATTTGAGAGGAAGCATATACAATTTAGGTTACTTACTCAAAACAGGCATTGAGTACTAGGTCTGGGAAATAATCAACTAAAATTGTGCTGATTTCCTGACAAGAAAGTGTTATAGTCTACCTGGGAATACCTTCCCTGCACAACAAAAAACCATAAGCTGTAGCTTGCAGTTCTGCCAGAAGGCACACTCATGCTGTCCATACCATGCACAGCAATTTAAGACACTGAATAAAGAGTATGAATCAAACACAAGCATCAAATCTACTACAAATTAGATCATTATTTTGCCAGTAGGGTACCTGTATCATCTGGTAATGTTCACACCAGACAAATGCCTTCAGAAAATAAAAAACACAATGGATTTAGAAGTTCTATGAAATGTTATGCTGTGCAGAGAGATTTCCAAGCAAATTGAGAAGCAGGGAACCAGAAAAAAAATGCAGAAATAAAAAGGAAACTTGATCACAGTCAATGATCATCATTGAGAATTGAGAAAGGAAGACTTAAGCTTTTGTGTTTTGTAGGTGTAAAATATCCATGAGTAAAAATGATTCAAGACTGATCAGAAGAGAGGAATCCAAAACTCTGGCTGGCATCCAGGAAAAATTGGTAGCATAAAATTAAAGTTCTGAGGACATGTGGGCTCACACAGAATTAAAGCGTGGAGAGAGAGAAGCAAAATGGAGAAACAGGAGGACAAGACAGTGTTAGGAAGTTACGGATTACAATTTCCTAAACTATTATAGATAGATTTACAAGTTCGTGTCAATATGCTCCTTCATGTAAAGGCTTCCAAGCAGCCACTGAAGCCATGGGGCCATTGCAGTCAGCTAGGGCAGTCAGTAGGAGCTGGTCTACATTGAACTTCACAAGTTTTCTCATTTGAATGCTGCACACAGCTTCAACTATATTACGTACTATAGGTCTCACCAGCTGGATCACACTGATTGACATTTAAACTTTCAATCTGTTACTTTCCCTGTTGAGTGCAAACCATTTTTTTTCCAGATAATTAGCTAAAGTAATTTACATATTACACTAATACACCTTCCTGATGCTTTAAAAATTGAGATACATGTGTAACTAGCCTTGAAGGTAGGTGAACTGAGAAAGAAATTTTGAACTTCAGCCGGTTCCACAAAGTTACAAATAGAACTAAATACCAACAAGTGCATTAAGGACAAAAGGAACTGTAAGCTGCTACACTGCATCAGCACTTCAGCTTTTGAAATTATAAGACCAGAAACTGCTTCTGAAATCCAATCTGAATTTCTATTGTATTTTCTACTGTTCACCTTAGAGAAGTCACTGCAGAAGTACAGTGTTGTGACAGAGACAGATCTGTGCTGGAGCAGTTCCACCCAACTTGAAAGAAAAAACTATCTAAAATTAGATTTGGCTCAAGAACCAACCATAAAAAACTACTGCTGCAAGGAGCTATTGTCTGCTATTACTGCCCCTTCTCCTAAGAAGGACATTGTGAGCATCTCCTCTCTGGAGCTCACACACAAAACAGACCCTGCCCCAGCTAACCTCTCATCTGGCTTGGGGAATGCTTATTAGTCTGAAAGCATGCAGCTGTATAAGAGGGGAATCAGATTGGCTCTATCAGTGAAAGCTGGTGCAGCCCAGAGACAGATTAAAAACTTTTATATGGGTACCCTTACCATGACTTTTTGCAGCAACACACTTCAGTCATTGTGTCTATTTGACTACCGGTGTTGACACATAAACTTATTTTTTAAATGAAAAGGAAAAAAAAAAAAAAGAGTTAAAAAAAATTAAAATGAGGAGTTTGAAAGCTGAACTGCTTGCTTTCTTGTGGTCTGAAGGGCAGGTTCACAAGCCTTGCACTAAGTATCCCCAGCAGAGAAGTGTGAATGAAAAGAGGGAGCAGTAAGCCCTCCTAGAAAATTTCTTCTGGACAGGATGGAGATTGGTAACTACAGCCTCACCCACCATTCCCCACTCTTTCAATTCCAGCTTTGCACTGGCCACGTACCTTGAAAACGAGCTCCTGGGAACACTGACAAACATCTGTGCACTGCCCATGGCACTGGAATGATTCACAAGAAAACATTTGAAAATCCTTTTTTGAGGCAGGCCAGCTAGGATTTTCAGAAGTGCATTGACTATCTATGCACAAGTGCCTTCAGGAAAAGAAAAAGTGTCTTTTAAAGCTGAGATTTTCAGCAGTACTTAGGCTTGTTTAGACTGGTAAACAATGTGCGCAAGAGGAGTCGATCTAGACAGCAAACAGTTGGTTCTGAACAACTAATGTCAGCTACCCATGTTTCATCACTTGAGGGCTGTTTCAGACTAGAACATGTCTGGTCCCATGGCTGGATGATAATTAGTAATCAGAGTATATTAGGTGCCTTCCTGCAGGACATCTTTCAGTTTGGTTTTGTCTTGTAGTAAACTGGGTTCTGCACTCTGAGTCTGCTCTGAGCTGTATGCAGCCTTGCCACAGACCCTCTCCAAAAAAGCCACTCAGAACTTCACCTCTTCGAATGTTCAGCCACCCCATTACACTTAGGGTCCTTCTTAGCCGTGTACTGGTATCAGCAAGATCAGTCAGTAGTAGCAAATGTAACACATGTAGACATTCTAAACTTAACAAATCAGAGAAATGAGCTTTCAGACACTGAGTACTAGAAAACCTGCACATTGCATACATAATTTTTCTTTTGAGATGTTAATCACAAACAGAACGTAATTTTAGAAGATAAACTTCTGTCCTCAACAGCAAACAGAACCCCCAAAAAGTAAATTCTCATCATGTATGTCTGCCAAAGTGAAAAAAACAAAGCAGATTTAAATGTGGAAATGATCTGGCACCTGATATTTGGATATTTTTTTACCTGAAACTAGAATTTATACATTGTAATAGCTCCTTAATTGGATCAAAAAATGCCTACCAGTCTTAATGAACAATGCTTGTACACACAGCACTGCTAAATCATGCAAAACCTATTAGAGTAAGACATAAGCCTGGATGAATATTCAGTTAAAAATACATATTTTTCAGATCAGAAAATCTATACTTTTAAAAGCAATGTTAGATCAGCTACACTGATATTCATACCATTATTTTGCTTTCTTAAATGTTAAATATATGTTAGCATCTCCATTAAAGTACAGTATGAAGCCAATCAGTTTTGTTTTCTCAATGAAATGTACTCCTCACTTTTATCTAAAAGTAAGAGTAGGTGTAAAATAACCTCAAATTGTGAAATAACCTCAGATTGGTCAGTCTTTAACAGATCCTCTGTTCTGAGGACTCAGATGGTCTAAGCATATGAGAGCCAAAAGTGAGCTACAAACTGCAAAGACAGCATTCAGATTTTTTCAACGGTCAAAAATCACACCTACTAAATCATAATGACATTTCTTGTTTCAAGTTGTGCCCATTCAGTTGTGTTGTGCTAGTAACTGTGTTCCTGGTATTGCTTTTCAGGGAAGCCATTTGAATGGCAGAAGAGTTGCGCAAGTAGCTGGCAGGTCTCTCTTGCTGAGCTTTCCTCCTGCAGCGAAGCTGGTTGTTGAAATGTCTTCTAAAACTCTCACTAAGAAAATACAGTGCAAATGGGTTGACACAAGAATTGCAGAAGCTTAGCACTCGGGCCACTAAGGTAACAACCATATGTCCTGTCGATAGATCAATCTCATTGTAATTGAAAGATCGGTACATGTATAGCATGTGGTTAGGAAACCAGCAGATAGCAAAGAAACCAACAAAAACTAGAACAATTTTTGCCAGGCGTTTCCGAGTTTCCATCTAAAAAGATGAAGAGAACCCAAATGAACAACAACGAATAGAACTACTCCACATAACAGACTTAATTAAAACACGTAGCATTTTGCATTATATTAGCTTTAACAACTATAAGTAAGACCAGTAAAAAAAGCTTCCTTCAGCGGCTGAATTACTTTTTCTATTTCATTTAATTTTCTTTCCTCCTTTCAGTTTACTTTCAGTGAAAGATCCTAGCTGCTTGCAGTTACAGAAGGTTGCTCTTTCTACATGATACATGATACATTGGCTTTTAGCCTGAAAGAACACACCAAAGGATGTCATGAAACAACATGATGAGATCTCAGTGCTTGGCTTGAAACTCAGCTTTAGTTGGAAAGCTGTTTAGAAACCATTGCCTTTGAAATCCAGAGACATTGTGAGTGAAATGTAGAGACGTTGCTGGGGTGTTAGCTATTCAATGGTGTTTACATCCTATTATTTTGCTCAAAATGCCTCAGCTTGCACCTATCTCCTAGACAAACCACCAAAACTGCATTGCACAGACTGAAGCATCTTAATTCCAGGGTAAGGTGAAAGGTTCAGTTAATCTTCAATAATGACGTGAAAGAAATGTGCCTTAATTGCTGTGCTACAGTGGATTACAATGTAGGTATCGAGAGTGGCTGAAAAGCTGACGTGAAGTAAGGCTACTCAGTGGTTCCAAACAGAGAGGGAGAGAAACTGGCCAAGTAGAAGGCACTAATGCGAGGAAGAAACTTTCCACATATTCCTCCCATTATTACGTACATAATGTACCAAAGTTTTGCAAAGGCAGGAAAGCTTTCTGGGTTTGCTCAACTTTCTGAAAAAAATCAAGTTAATTTATTTTAACAGGGTTTCAAAATCAGTGAAACAACTCTGTAAGTAATTTTCTTGGCTCTGTCTAAACAAAAACCAGTTGTGATTCACAAAAGATGGGAAAATCTCTAACATTCCAATTTGATAGGTTTTGCACTCAGACAGATTGCAAAGGCAGACTAAAAGGTGCAAAGGTATAGTGTGAATATTACACATTTCTGCTATGGCCTAAAGAAATGTGAGTTGATAGCAATAGTCTGAATTTACTTCCTCTTGCTGGGAGATACACAAGTACACCAGAATTTTCCATTCTCCTGAGCCTCATAGATTAACAAAAAGAAAAAAGCTAAATAGAAAGAAAAAATATGTTCTTACTGTGAAAATACATGTGGGTTCAGAAATGTGATATAAATTAAATATTGTTTCCATCCTAAGGGTTCAGCCAAAAGGCTCTCTATATTTCACAGGAAAATAAAATAACACATGAAGTGCTAATATGTATGGTTTTTTTACAAGAAACAGGTTAGAGCAGAAATGAAATGCTGAGCAAAAAGGACATGAAGCAATGTGGTCTTTCTTTTTAAAAGCATATGTACATGTTATATATGCAAGGAGATTTCAGTAAGTATAAAAGTATTTTCTAAAATAGTGGCAGAGAAAACCCTTCCAAGTAGTTTTAATGGGCATAAGTATTTTTCTCTATCAATATTGTTTTTGTAAAGTGCTTCAGGCACTTTCACTGCAAAAGCTGTGTTTGTATATGTAAATGTTCCTGCTAATGAACACCCTGTTGCTATCTTATTGCTTCCTGTGCCTTACAGGGAAGCTGGCTTTGTCCAGCATTACAAATGCTTTGTCTCAAAGGTATACAGAACTTATACCAAAAGTTTTAGAGCATCTATAATAGAAAGGATACTAGAAAAGTGCAAGTTTGGGATTGTATCCAAGAAAGATCTACTGTGAAAGCCAAAAAAGAATCAGTTGATGCTCTGTGTTCATATTTTCAGCATTCCTTGCTCTAAGAACCTTAGATCCCCTAAGAAAAATGTTTCCTGCCTATGTCAGGTCTTTTTCATTTCCAAGCCCAAATAAAACAGGGAGAATTCTCAAAAAGTTCATGTAAGATTTCTTCGCCAAATGGCTGCCTGTAAAGACAGGTGAAGCCACCAGCATTAACTACAAAAACATTGTTCCTCAGTAAGAAGACAAGTAATGGTTACAGTAACAACACATACAAGCACATATACCAGTCCCATTTCTTGTTAGGAATATGCATTGATGGCATTGAAATTATATTTTTCCTTCCTCACATTCATTGACACACTGGGCTTAATGCTGCGAAATTCTGAAAACAAGGAGATTTTTCAGATAATCCTCAACTTAATTCCTGCATGTGGAAACTGAACTAATCCTCTGTGAAATCCAACAATTTGGATGTTATAGCTCCTGTACTTCATTTTTAAGTATATATAGCATGCAAATCTTTCATTGGGATGCAAAAAGCAAGTTGCTTACCTGTCTTTTGCAATGCTCACTGTATTCTCCAGGGATGTTGTGAGCACTTTTTATTAAACTCTTTGCAATGTGATAGTAATAGATACTAATAATGGCAAGAGGGATAAGGAAATACACAAGGAAAATCAGCACAGAATGGATCTTTGGGTGCATGTCATCTGTCATGGGATATGGTATGCATGCTGTGAAAGTGGCATCCGTGTCATTGATGTAGGCCAGTTCAGAGAACACTGCTTCAGGAACTGCTAGGAGCATGGAGATAACCCAGATGGCAACGGCTTTAAGACAGGTCCATAGCACTGCACTGGAGGCCTGGATGTCCATGGGATTTACAATTGCTTTGTACCTGAAATAGATCAAAATGTAGACGCAAATTAAAAGATATCTTTTCAAATTCAACATGTGATGCACAAGGACACTTCATACATTTAACTAAAATAATGTAGTACTTTGTTCTTATTTGAAATGTCAAAGGATTTATAATCTTTCTTAAACTTGCAGTGTCTAAATATTTAGCTTCGTCTGTATATAAACCCATCACAGGTGGCAAAAGGAGCCCTGGATACAACCTGTGGCTGTAGGTGACCATTCTGCACCAGCCTGGTGAAAGTGCAGAAGCAGCCACGACTCCACTCTTTCTCTCTCCAAATTTGCCCAGCTAATCCCTAAATGCACATCCTACCCTCCATACTACCTCACTCTCATACCAGAACATGCACGCTAGAGTTCGCTTCCTTCCTCAGCTCCCGCAGCCCAGGACTCCCTCCTGCCTGCCACCAAGGCTCCACCAGCCCTCCCAGGGGCACAGGGAAATAGTCGGCATGAACCACCTCTTGCCAGACCAGCAACAACCGCCGCTGTGCTGGCTCTTGCTTTTCCACCCCAGCACCCTTCCACACACAGATACACTGTACCAACTGTAACACCTGGAATACACGCATCGTCATAAAGTCATAAAGTCATAAAGTCATCATAAAGTCAGGCAGGAATGACTCCCAACGGACCTGTGCAGAAATATTAAACTCTTAAATAAAGTCAACCTTCCCACGTCAATAGTTGGAAGCTGCTGCTCTATACCACATTTTGGGAAACTGTCCCATAATAAATGATTACATATAAACCTTTGCAAAATTGATAATTTCATAACCATTAAAAAGAAGACAGGAAGAATTGCAGAAAATAGAAATATCATACTATAGCAAAGTAAAACAAATGAATAGAAGTAGACTCTGGTCAGCAATTCTTTTATTAAAAAAAAAATTTGTTGCAGAAGGTGATACAAAGTGAAACTTTCCACAAGAAAAGGTCAGTTTTAAAAGGCCAAATATACTTTGAGAAAGATATTTCAAGCATACCTTAATGTTTTGTTTAGATTTTTTTTTTAATTTTTTTTCAAAATGTAAGTAAATAATCTTTTAATGTTTTAATTAAAAACTGAACAGTAAACAAAACATTTCTGTTTGTCTAAGCTGTGGAAGGTTGCTTCAATTTGATGGAAGGGTTTTTTGCTTCTTAAATTTTTTGTTTCTAGTTCTGATTTGATTTGGGATGGGTGGGTTTTCTTCTGAAATTGCAGTTTTGAGAAAAGGAATCATGATTTTTCTTTAATATCTAAAGAATAGTTTAGCAGAAGGAAGGGCGTCAGGGCAGACTCATTCTCCATGTACATAATTTTATTTATTTTAAGGTCTTCCTAGTCAGTGAAGATGTATTTTCAAAGGGTGATTCACATTTTAAGCATATTAAGTCACCCTCTAAGGTCTTACTTTTCTCTTTTAGCTATACAATGAGCTTAGAGTGAGAAGAACTGTAACCTAGACATCTTTACTTGGTGAAGAAACTCCTCATCCATGTATGTAGATACATATACAAATAGAAGTATGTATGGGCATGAACAGGTGTCTAAATACTTACCAAGAGTTAGGTTATGGATAAATATAACATAGTTGCTGAAGGAAACGCTGAGGAATGGAATTGTGATCCCGAATACCCTTTATGGCTGATTTGCAGGTCCTAACAAGTACTTCATAGCCCCTCAACACCTTGAGCAGATGTTTGAGGAAATCTAGATAAAAGCTATACTCCCATGCAAAAATTTGTGAGTTTCCTGGCAACCAACAGTGCAATTGGCTGTGACATAAAAATGTCTGGAGCAAAGAACTGTCTTGGTACCCTAGCAAACTTTTTCTTCAGAGAATATTTGAGTCAAAATGTGCCGTGGAGTCCTCTGTCCAAGGACTATGACAAATCATCTTATCACTAAATAATTAAAAATAATGGTTCTTTATGTTCATATCCTCTCTGAATTCAGAGAGAGGATTTTTATTGTGTCCTCACCCACATCATGTACTAGAAAATAAAACTCAGTAAACTGTTTCTGTTAAATTATGTTTACCATTTCTTCTAACACGGAATGAGAAACTCCCTGGACACCAAGGTGCAAGGAAATCCTTTATACTGTCATAGGAAGGATAGAAGCTTCTGCACAAAACATGAATGCTCCCCAGCATAAACTGTGACCTTATTATTCAATAATTCGCTTCCTATTGCTGTCTGCCTTGATTTCATTACATAAAGACAGACCTTCTATTTCATTTCATTCCACTGAGGTGACGTCAAGTACTCACATCTGCTCATTTCTTTAAAACTTTACATTGCTGGGGAAGAGGTGGTTTGGGGACTTTGGGGGGGAGGGGGGGACATTGGATAAAAATCATGTTTTGTACTATGGATTTCTTTTTCATCTCTTTTCCCATTGCAGAGCTTCAAACCGTTTTGACCACAGCCCTATGACCCAAGACAATGACTGTGTCACAATTAATTGTTTTAGCAGCATTTGCTCTGGTTGATAACTAAACAGGAGACCTGTTCAGAAGTCTTTACATCAGCAGAAGACATGGCATATATTTGTGCCTTGGCATATACTGCCGTTTCAGAAAATAGCATGCTTTCCCCTGAGCTACAACTGACTCCAAGCTGGAAGGCATTGGAGCAGAGTGCGCTTTTTCACAAAAACAGCTGGGTTCAGACCAAAAAACTTCTTCTTCAATCCTACCAAAATTCTACTCACTACTTCAGCTGACTACAAGATGGGACTCTTTTTCCTGGGACTCAGCCCTGCACACTACTAGGTGTCAATGGGAAGGAGAAGGCACTAAATGCTTTACAAAGTCTGTCATCTTGTTTGTATCTCTGAACTGATTTAGAGTAGAAAGAGACAGGTTACAAATAAAATCAAATGCAAACTGAGTGAAATTAGAAGTGTTCCCAAAATGAACATCTAGCCTCTTCCTTTGTATAAAATCAGTGTAAGGCTAAAACATACCACCAACCATTCAAATTACAATGTGCATATTTTCTATTATTAAAAGAACACTGGTAAATCAGAGTAAGGGTGCAAATTATTTAGTCAAATTAGTAAGAAAAATACATCTTTTCCTTTACTTTGCTGATGAAAAAAGAAAATTATAGGTTGCCATGAAGTTCAGCAAATAATTATAAATATGCATTTGGTTTTAATTAAAAGCCTTCATGTAAATTCTGTCTTCCTACATCCTCTATCATTATCACTGCTGACAGAGGCACCCCAACTCAGGAAATACTTTTATAAGTTTCCTTTCTTTGGAGCTGTAGTTTCTGCCCACACACACAAGCACAAACTTGCCCATGCTGCAGATGGGTTTTGTTTGTATAGTGTATTTTCATTATAAAGCAATCTCCCTTCTGCACATCCCCCAAAAATGATGAAAAAAAGAATATACTCTTCCTCTAGAGTTATAACATATTGCTATCTTCTAAACTCCAGTGTAGGTTATCTACTTCTCCCCATCTTTGTTTTCAAAGGCCTTCATAAAGGTATTTCTCAGCTCCCAATTAGAACGGAAAGCTCTACTCCTGTCCCTGCTGTGTCCACAATGCTACTCCCCTCTGGTTTTGGCTGGGATAGCGTTAATTTTCTTCCTGGTAGCTGGTTATAGTGCCATGTTTTGGATTTAGTGTGAGAATAATATTGATAACACACTGATGTTTTAGTTCTTACTGAGCAATGCTTACACTAAGTGCTTACTCTGACAGCAAGGAGGTGCGCATAGCCAGAACAGCTGACCCAAACTAGCCAAAGGGATAGTTCATACGACAGAACTCCATGCGTAGTACATAAACTGGGGGGAGTTGGCCAGGAAGAGCAGATCGCTGCTCAGGGACTGGCTGGGCATTGGTCAGTGGGTCATGAGCAAGTACATTGTGTATCACGAGCAACTACATTGTGTATCACTTGTCTTTCTTAGGTTTTATTTTTTGCTATATTCATTTTCATTGCTATTATTATTGTTGTTGTTGTTGTTGTTATTATTATATTTTAGTTATTAAACTGGTTTTATCTCAACCCATGCGTTTTCCTTTTTTTTTTCAAATTCTCCTGCCCATCCCAGTGGCAGGGATGGTTAAACAATGACAGCCTTCTACACAGTTGACTTCAAAAGAAGCTGCTCCATGGTTAGTCCTAAGCTGTCCCTCCACTGCAGTGCTACTTCTTTTTCTACAGTACTTTGTTGTGATGACCTTCAAAAACAAATCAAAAAAGCACAACAAAACAACTAGACAATACTCAGACTCAGACAGGCACTGAACTATGATTACAGCCTACCATTCTAACCAGAATTGCCTCAGTATCTCCTTGCCCTTTTGTTTCTGTATCTCCTGTTGTCTCTAGTTAAAACCCCTTCAGGTCAAGGACTTTCTTCTTGTTCCTGTTCATATAGCACCTACCACAAATAGGATCCTAATTTATCACCTGGTTTCCTACATGCAAATGCAATGAAAATAAATAAATATAATAATGAAGTGCTATAAACTAAGCAGAGACCCAATTCAGGCAGGGTTGATCCATACTACCTTGATTTAATTTGCATTTTAATCCTGGAACTGGAATGGTTGGTATCATTTGCCTTATTATAAAGCTTCCATTTTAAGTGATGCTGTGTCATAGTACTGCATTTCCTGCAAACTAGAGTAATTTATCAAAACTATTTATATGTTGGCATTTTATTGTGTCATTGCATGAAGATTTTAAACATAAAAATACAGCATTTAGCCTAACAATATATGTATATAAATATATCTGAATAGGAAACATGGCTGTATGGTCAATATTTGTTAAAAATAATAGTATTGTGTCCAGTATAGTCCACTCCACTAAAGCAGAATGAAATTTTGGATGGGGCCAAATCCCTCTTCCTTGTATGGGTGGTTCTGTTGACTCAGCTCCAATTGAATTATTAAGAGAAGAACAATTTATCTACCTGAGAACAATGTGAAATCATTTGAAGTCCATTGTCATGGGAACTT